TATTCTGTCTGCTGGTATTTTTCTCTGCTGTTTTTTCCCCTGTTCTCCTCTGTGGGGTGATTTGTGTCTTTGACATTTACATCAACAGTGGTTTAAGTTTTTCAAGTAACCTTTGCTTGAAGAGCTGCCTAAGAATAAGTTTGTTGTCTTGTTTTTACTGTTGAACATAGCTGATTTGTTACCTTGGACACTGCCAAAAGATTTGTTCTGGCTTTGAGAAACAAACGAAAAAAGTTTGCATTCCTCAAGCTGGGTGCTGCCTGACATTCAAGCATCATGAAGCTGGCTTTTCATTGCTTCTTTTACTTGAATGCAAACGTTTGTGTACTTCAGGGAAAATCTGATTGGTTAAATACTGGTTGAAGGAATATTTTGTGATGTAGAAGTGTATTTAGATGTTATAGAATCATTTATGAATAATCAGACTGTGGATACCTTGTTCCTCTTCAGCCAGGAAAGAGAGTTTCCTGTGATACTGAAATCTGGCAGAATTGGAAAATTGCATGTGGTTCACCCACTGCTTTCAAAATGTTTAGTGATAAGAAAATGTGATCAGTCTTGGGGGAGGATTTCTATGATATTTAATATTTTCTCTGCAACTTACATCTGGCCTTTCTCACCATATTATTCATAAACATTAGCAGGTCCACCCCTAAACTTAAACATAGGTTGCAGGAAAAAATGTGACATGCAATATAAATCCTCCCCCAGACCCTGCTGCTCTGTAAAGCTCAGTTTCTGCTTTTTAGGAAGCCGTAAATTCAAAGGTTGGAAATCCTGAAAAGGGCTTCCAGAGGCAGTTAGAATTGCCACATTCTGCATTTCCTTCCAGGCTGGTCATGTGATATCAAAGCATGGAAGATACAGTTTGTGCATAGCTGCATTTTATCTGAGTGTGTGTGAGAGAACGAAATGCTGCCTAGTGCCAGCAGACTGATAGCTCAATAGAAATAAACCACATCCAGAAGGGTAGCTCGTTTTTATTTATTTCTATGTATAGTCCATCTTGGCTTCCTTTCATATCTGCCTTGGTGGGGATTTTGGCTTCTTTGCCTCTTGATAGGTTATATTTGACCTGATAGTCTTCTCCTCATTCTTATGGATGGCTACTCTTGCCTCTTAAAAAACCAGATCTTTTAAGTGTCAGCAACTTTTCCAGTCTATGTAGTTAAACATAAATATTGGGAAGAAGTTTTGGATCTTATTTCCTAATGTTTGGTGTTGTCCAGTGAGGATCAATTAGTATTACTTTAGTGATACGTCATGTTTTCTTTTCCATAATGGTGCAATAGCATTCTTGAACTTTTTCTCCCCAAAAATGCTGAGACCCAATCATAGAAACAGCTTATCTTAGACAAAATAAATCCAGTTGAAACTTTGTGCTTTGCCTCAAGCTAGTGAAGAAAGCATATCATGAGTTTGGCTCACTCCAAAGAGAGGTCTACCATGAGAAAAAAAAAGTATATGGGAGAAGAGAGTAGATCATTGTTTGAAAAACAGAGCACTGAGAAACAGGATACATTCATTGTCTTCTGCTTGAAGGCAATGGCCTGAAAGGAGTAATATAACTGAAAGATCCAGCCTACTTGTTGTTCATATACGATTTCGAAACCTTTATTGGCATATAAACGGACAACAACAAAACATAGGTACAAGCCAAGCGATGATCAGAGTAAACGTAAAATAGGAGATACACTCAACAAATAGTATCATAGGTAATGGGTTAAATTGGAAATTTCCAAAAGATATCTTGCAACGGCAGATGTAATCCGCGGGCAAGAATCATTCAGGAAAAAGGATAGGGAGTTGGGCAAAAGAGAAAGCCACGGTTCGAGAAACAGCTTTCTCAGAGATGAATGCGCCGGGCAATGAAATAAAATATGGTCCAGGGAATCTGGGAGGGTATGACAGAAAAAGCAGAGCCTATTTGCACGGGGGATCTTAGCGAATCGGCCTGCATGAACCGCCGAAGGGAAGATATTGAGGCGAGCTAACATAAATGCTCTTCTCTGACCAGGGTTGGTCAGTGAAGAGAAATAGTTAGAAGGGCGTCCTAGGGAAGGAGGAAGACTGAAAAAAAGGGGAGAACAAGTGGGGTTTAAGTCAGCTGAAAGTGACTCAAACTCAAGCTGCCAAAGTTTGTGTTTGATCAAGGAATGGGCCTGTTGTAATCCCAGGTCGAAAAGGGATTCTAAGT